AGGGGGAAGCATCGCTGCAAGCTGCATGGTTATTTGAGCAGAAGATTTTCCCTGTTGTTTTATTTTTATTTCCAAGTGTATTGAAACTGGCAGAGAATTGAGGACTTAAAGGATAGCTTGACAAATTGTTGCTTTTGATCAACTTGGGAGGACATGCAGCTGAAAAGATAATGTTGGGCTCAGTTGGCAGGCTTCTAAAAAAAGAGATTTTTTTTAAAATATCAAGGAATTGACACATGACTCTGAGTAGGTTGGGTGTTTTTAAAGCCCATAAAGCTGGAAAAGAAAAGTGATTTGCAGCCCATCTGGCAGGTAGAAAGCTGCTAACAACTGGAGATATCGCCCCTAACAGAACAAGCAACAGACAGCGTTTCACTTCTGCAATGTTTATCTGCTCTGGTTCAGCTTGAAGATCCACTGTGGGCGGTATCAGTGCGCAACAGATGACAAAAGACTGATGCCCTTTGACCTCCATCCTCAACAAACCTGGAGGGGCATTTTTTTTGTAAATCACTGACCTAATTCTCTCACGTTTCACATGCGCATCACGAGTGTGTGTCCTTTTGCACCCAGTATCATCAGGGAAGCACACACCCACACAGTGACAGAGGCTCTTCATAATAACACCCCCCACACCCCAAATTTAAACTATGTCGTGTCTCCAAACACAAAGCGACTTCAAAGACAGACACATCATCTGTCACTGAAAAAACACACATTTAGTGGGTTGAAAATACTCCAGATCTGTGGAGTTCAATGTCTTCACTTATAAAGATAAACATGAAGCACCGAAACAATAATTTAACCTACATTTTCAGAGAAGCATTCGAAAAACAAGAGCTCATTTCATGTATCTTACAATTTAATATTACCATATGATCCTGTACTCTACCCTGAGATCTACGTCAAGAAAACTCGGCTTTACATTAAAAACATCGGTGGTTATCTGTGGGTTTATCCAACAATGAGTTGCATCCTCGGTGAGATCAGTTCAGGCATCGCTGTGATCCACTAACCCACTGCCCCGGAGAACATCCCCCCCCCAACAGACGAGAGAAAGGAGTTTTCCCTCTCAGTGAGCGCACCTCTCAAACTCATGTTACTGACCGTGTTTTAGCCTCACAGAAGTTGCACGATGCTTCAAACTCACCTCAGCAAAACTTCACAAGAGTGGCTCCTCAGCGGCGTCTGTGCCCGTCTACCTGCGCCTCTCCATCCATACGTAAATGGGACGGGTGGGGGGGGAAAGTGCGTCTTTTTTCGGTTTTACGCGTTTTGGTGCTGATCACGACGTGAGTTAAAAGAAGTAATCTCTCAGTCCCACGATAAAAAGAAGCAGCCGCTCGGATGAGCGATGGATGTTCGACGTTTGTTCCCCGGTGAGGCTCGATGCAGCGGCCGTCCAGAGCAAACACTGAGCACCCTCACTCACATTCCAGTTTGTGTTTGCGGCGCTCCTCCTGAACAACGCAGAGCCAATGAGAAGCGGAGGATGTCACGGGGAGGGCGGGGTCACTGTGTTTTGTGCCCCAACTCTCCCGTGTGTGTGTGTGTGTGTGTGTGTGTGTGTGTGTGTGTGTGTGTGTGCGTGTGTGTGTGTGTGTGTGTGTGTGCGTGTGTGTGCTTGTGTGTGGTGGGGTTGCACGTGCGTGTGGGTGTAGGTGCGCGCGCTCTGGAAGCATGAATCAAGCTTGGCATATGTCCTGTCTCTCTCTTTGTCTGTCTGTCTCTCTCTTTGTCTGTCTGTCTGTTTGTCTGTGTCCTGAAATCAAATGAGCTTTATTGCTACTAGGGTTGGAATACTGACAAGGATAAATGACACATTACAATTACAATGAGCACAGGCTGCTGTTTCACAAGGAAATAGAGAAGAAAATGAAGTAACACAATATTTTACAGTACCTATGGACTGTGGGGAAATAAATAAAAAGGGCACCAGCTGCATACAGTGGGGCACCAGTGAGCCTGCATTGAATATTCACACACTGAGGGCACTTTAATCTATCTAATTTTACCCACAACAGGGGCACCCAAGAGGGCACTTTTTTTTTTCAACCCACGTGCACCTGAGTCCACCAGTGATGTGTTTTTTCTCTCTCTCCTGCATTCATTAATCTCTTAGTACAATCTTATAGATAAGATAAGATAAGATGTACCTTTATTGATCCTCCATAGGAGAAATTAAAATTAGACACAGCAGCATAGGGGAAAAGTGCAAAAGTACAAAAGTGGAAGTACAATAAGATATCACAAAATAATAATATTACAAAATATAAGACTATAAATTAAAAGTATATACACTATATGCAATATGCAAATAAAAATGGTGTGCAAATATTTGAGCAGCTTTGACTAAAACTGTACATGTGCAACTTAAATATAAATAGTTGTGCAAAAAAGAGAGACACATCAAATCTTGGAGCATTATTATTATTATATATATATATTTATTCCATTTGAATATTTTGATGGTCTCTGGGCATACAATCAAGTTTACAGTCTGCTGTGTGCAGTGCTTCTGGAGGTGGTAGGTGAGGGAGGGTCAATAAGGACTCAATAGCAGTTTCTTTCCATTTTTCTTTAATGAATTTAATGAATTTGGAGTATTATTTTCCTTTTCTATCTTATATCTTTTTGTTTAATCTTACATTCGTATGTCCATTAGTAGTATTAAGATATGGTTGTGCCAGTCACTGAGTGGTGTGTTACTATTATACAATGTAAACTGTAGTTCAGGCAACACAAACCCTCAACTGCCCACATTTTGAGCTAAAAATATTAAGCACGTGACCTCTGTATTCAGTCCTGCACACACGTACTGTAGTCTGTGTTGTCTTGCCACAGGCATTCACTGCTGCTTCTCTGCACACCAGTCTGGCCTGTAGGCTGAATCCACATCTGAGCACCAGATTTAACCAGCTGTCACCTTATGAACTGTCTCTAACATTTCTCTTTGCCCTTGTACACTGGACAGCAGCGGGGGCCATTTTTAGGAGAGAGAGCTGATACCTTTTCAGCCTTGTGGGTTTAAATTTAAACCTTTCATGTTCAATTGAACGTTAAACCCAACTTTTGCAGAGGTACAGCACGACCCGTCTCATTCGGTAGCGTTTTACCATCAAAGAAGTTTTATTTGTCCTCGTAAATGTATTGGCAGGTTGTGAAAATGATGGCGTGATTATGTGTGATTACGCAGCTTAACAACAGGGGCTTTGTCAAAATTGCCTTTCCAATCCGTTCGCCTCCAGTGGGCTTACAGCGATTGCTTTCTCCTGGACAGCAAGCAACAAGCAAATTGAATTACATGGAAGGGAACCATGATGAAGACAAACGTCGCCATCTTTAGGAGCCACAAACAGCGTGAAACACAAAGGTGCTGCTATACGAGAGATGAGAGAAAATACATTTCTGTGCAATGGGTTGGTATTATGTAGAGCGACTTGTCTTGAGGTGCTCCTGCCAGCATAATTGCCCTCCATAAGTGGATATGCTGTTCCACTGAGTCCATACAAATCCAATTCAGCTCGCCCCTCCAAGAAGCAAAGGGAGCAGAAAATGGCTTGTCCCTTTTGATCCATCAGTTTAGTATTAGTAGAGGAAGGGATTTTTTAATGACTGGTTGATATGATTAATCTTAAAGGGAAGGTTCAGGGATATTTCCCCCTCAGGTCCTTCTTCTTAGAGTACATATTTAGCAGGAAATTTTACTTTTTTGGGCTTCAGAAATCCTCTTTATTGACAAAGTGCCAAAAGGAGGATACTGATTGAGAGAAAGAATGAATTTTCATGCACACTCAAGAAGAAACAACAAGACAGCTGCTGTTGGTTGGGGATCGATGAGATACAGTAGGCTGTCATAAATGCTAAATTGGCAGTGATGGGCTTGATGCTGGGAGTTCAGTCATGGTGTTGGTGATATAAGTGATGTAAGGAAGAAAGAAGAGTCAATTAAGAAGGCTGTGCACAGACAGAAAGATGATGATGGAGAGAAATAAGTGCACTCTCAGAGCAAGGAGAAGAGGTACAAAAGATCCAGAGAAAGAAAAAATAATGAAAGACAGGGTAAATGAAAGTTTAAGCCCAATTTAGCTGCAAATAAATATTACTTTTGTGAAACACACATTCACTTTCTTGCTTTCTTTCAGCCTGGCAGCCTCACAGGGATGCAGATCAAGTAGTTTTTTTCGCATAAACCCCTGTACAATATGTTTTATATACACTTCAATTATATTAAACAAATGAGATATATTGTGTTAATTAGTGAGCTTTAGAGGTGCTGGTAAGTGGATTGGACAGAGCTGGGCTAGCTGTTTCCCTGTTTCCCGTCTTTATGCTATGCTAAGCTAACTGGCTGCTGGCTGTAGCCTTATATGTAACAGAAAGACATGAAAGTGGTATCGAAAAAAAGCAATTGAGCATATTTCCTAAGTTGTCAAAATACCTTATTTTTGGCTGTCTTGTCCTTTCCCAGTCTCTTTAAGTTCAAAGTTCAAACTCAGCAGCTTTCCCAGCTGCCACATAAAGTCAATCACACACATCCATACCAGTCCTTTTCTGTCCCAGTGTCGCTCTCTAACTGTGGCTCTAATTGTTTTATTTAAATGTTCTTTACAGAGTCATACTTCAATTAAACATCACTTTGTAAAACATGTAAAAAACACTCTTTGTCTCATCCTGCATCCTATTTTTACTAATAAATGCTGGGTATAACACATTCAGGGAACTCTGTAGGGTTTCCATAAGCCCCTCAGTGCTAACACACACTCACACTCACACACACCCTCTCTCTTCCTCCCGGACTCTCAGCTGCTGAACAGCTCAGCCTGTAATTATGGCTGTCATCAACAGCCCCTGACTAGCAGCTATATTTACTGTAGAACCAGTGCGCATACACTTACAAAAGGAAGACCATACACACTTAAAACTGCAACAACACACACACACACATACAAACATAACCAACTATTTTGGCCGTTGCCAATCAAAATCACAGCAACAGGTAATTTAGCACTGGTTTATTCTGCATCATCGGCTCTAATCCTCTCAAGAATTTTCTCAGCAAGCATACATTTTCACTCTGGCTCACATACAGTCACAGAGTCATGGACAAAGTAACACTGTGTACTTTTATGGTCTCAAGATGATGGCTTGAATGTTGACGTCTCCATTGTCCATATTTGCTGTTTTTCCTGTTTTCAGTCCAAAGAAATAACAAGTAAAATCGTGATGAAATGAAAGGAACAATAGCTTTATCACCTTGTTGAGTTAATATTTATACTGTAATATACTATGTAACAACAATACGTGTTGGAAATTCTATATTGTTATTGTTACAAAAAGTACTTATGTAAAGTGTGACCAAGAACACATGAGTGGCTGTATAAAAATCCCCTGTCTCATTATATAAAACCTGCAACTTCTGCAACACTAAAATGTGTTTTTGCAATTTCCGACAGGATTGCTTCACCAAATACTTTTACTAAGTGACATTTGTCGTTGCTTTCCTTCCTCCATCTCTGATGGGGTCCTTGATTTATGCAGCACTGAAAACCTTTTCAAGCTGAAATGTATCAAAATGTTTTCATTTTGTGACTTTTGCAGAATGTTTATGACCCTCAATAAAACCCACTGAGATCTGTTTACTGCTCACTGTTCAACCAACGATATAAAGCATAACTGAAGATCACTGGATATATTATAAATATATATATATATACCAATGTATGTGTGCCCATTCATAAACCCATTCATACACATATGGTATGAATTAAACCAACCCCACTGACCTCCCAGCGGGGCAGTTCCTTTCCTTCTGTACGAGCCACAACTGCTGCTGGTCGCCACCATCGATCTCCTGTGCGGCATTGAAACACCTCCTGTTACTTGCTCTACCTTCAGTATTTCTCTTAGCCTTACTGTGTTGAGCATTTATGTCTTATTTTTTTCATCTTTCTTTCTAAACACTTTCTTCGTCTCTGCCTGACAAAGTCTGACCACGAAACCAGGATGAGTCAGAGAGGCCACATGACTGGAGGGCAGGAAGGTCAAGGCTAAGGGATGTACAGGCACAGCTGACGGTGTGTGTGTGTGTGTGTGTGTGTGTGTGTGTGTGTGTGTGTCTCAGAGTGAGAGTGTGTGTCACTAAAATGTCAGAGGGAAAATGCTGCCTCTTCTCCGGTTACTAGCCTTGTTTAAGTTGGGTCATTGTTAGACTTCCCAAGCTGTAAATTAACTTGGACCCAAATGGAATTTTGACTTTGTGAACTCAGCTTTAGTTTCTGTTTAGGGGCATAAAGAAACACACTGTATACTGTATGTGTATATGCAGCTCTGAATACAAAGATGTGTTTACTGTATTGCCTCCTAAATAATACATTGAAAGCTTCCATAAGACTGTACAAAGTTGCATATTATGTGTGTCTCTGCAGAGGTGAAGCAATTACAGGCTGTATGCTGCACTGTGGCACGGCTCCATGCTGTGGATCCTTTGGTCTGTAATGACAGGTTGCTTGTTGCAGGTAGAGTGTCTCCCCTGAGGGACCTGGAGGCACCTTATAGGCCTTATTAACTGCTTTTAAATTAGTTTCTGATTTAAAGCTGCAATATCTTTTTTCAGCAATGGATGAAATGACTATAATGTGAAAGGCATCGCTCATAGTGACAAACTCATACAGAATTCTGCAGTCCCCCTCAGCTCTGTACATTTTTAGTCTCCTTTAGCTCATTATTTTGTTTTCAGGTTTGTGAACTCCACTCTGATCAGCCCCGTTTTCAACAGGTAACTGTCTTTGGCATTATAGCTTTGATAAAGTAGGTTAATTGCCCAATGGTAGAAAGAAAACGTTTGCAACTAGCTGGTGAAGAAGGACGAACATGTAGCAGCTAAAGAGCCATATTTTTCTCTAGAGTTGGTGGAAGAGAGACAGAGAATGTGAACTTATATTGTAGAAACACAAATTAATGCTAATGTTGCATCCTATCTTCTCATATCTTTCCTCTGCTCCCAAGTAGCCAAAAAATCTATTAATGCCGCTTTAAATTCCTGGCTAATTTTATAAATGAGTGGAGGTACGTCTGTTATTTATAATTTGGCATTATGCTATCCAAACTATAAAAAGGGGCTTGAAATACATTACTGTTGGGTGTAAGTCAACTGAACAAAAGTGATGCACAAGTCTTAAACAGGTAACAATAAATGTTCGCTTGCTTCTTAGACATTTAATAACTTATAAAAACAGTAATACACTTGTGAATGAGGAGCAAAACATGATGTCCAAACTTTCACCAGTGTACCCCTCTGTGAAGAGTCACGGGTGGTCTGTTACGTTTCATGTTTTAAACGGGATTACCTCATTGTGAGAGCGGTTCCAAGCCACTAAGTGTAAACCTCACACGCCCAGTGTTGCCCGCAGCACAGATTGTCATGGTAACCACATGGGAATTGTAAAGGAAAGGTTAGCAGTAGATATAAGCCACATGTAAACATCTGTAACCAAACAACTGAGACGACTTTACACTGACGTCTGCAAAGAAAGAGGGATTACTACTCTTGCATCCTCTGGCTTACTGGATGTTGCAGCATTAAAAATTCACCTTATGTCTCAAAATGCAAAAAAAGAGACGTTTTCTCCTCTTTCAGCTGTTTATTCTTTCTCTCCTCTTTCAGTGTAAACTGTAGAAAATAATAACAGTTTGAGTCTTTTGGCAAAAGTAGGTCAGTGGAGGCAACTGTCAGAAGCAGGAAGAGGGAGATGCGGAGCGGTAATATTCCAGCTACAGTAGGTCCCCTCAGGTCAGAGCTATACCCAACACAGAGTGGCCACTGACGCACAAACTACAGTACTGTCATGTTCTTCTCTGTGTTGTATCGCCGCGGACAGAGACGACATCTGTGGCCAGACAGTGGAGGTGTATGTGTGGGTGGACTGTCAGCGTGCAAATGTTGAGGATGGAAGACAATGCCTATGTGTGTGTAAGAGGTTGTTCGTCATTGTGTGTGTGTGTGTGTGCATGCGTGTGTTTGATAGTAGGGCAAGTAGATCAAGTCAGTTTTAGGTCATTCTCCAACCTCTAGCAGTGACCTCTTTGGCAGCTCGGGAGGAGGGAGTATTTGTGTCACATAAAAGTTTAGCTCAACTTGACATAAAGCAATATGCATTAATCAGATGATTTCCAGGTCAGACACTCCGGGGATGAAACCACTGCGCTGCTGCAGGAGGAGTTCATTAAGTTAGCTCTAATCATGGCATCCATTTAAATGGTAGCTAATACAGTCCACATCTGATAAAAGCAGAGTCATGTTCAGAGATGTAAGGGATTGCACCTGAAAAATATGTAACACGCCCACATATGATCTTGAAGTTCTTACTAAGAGCGACGTTTTCTTTTGAACTCTCAAAAGTCTGAGCAAGTCAGTTTGTTTATGTGAAACCCAACATCACATTAAAAGGAAATGGTCATTACTCTATTTCCTTAGACATATTTTAGTTCCTGTTTTAGTTCCCTTTTAAAGATGACAAGCCTTGACATGACAAGCCTTAGTGTATACTAATATACTCCACGATATTAAGATGTGTGACAATAGTGTTGCCAGGAGATAAAAACTGCTCAACTATATGTTTTTTGTATTGATTCTTATGTAGATATAGTTGCACCAGCTTAATCTTTAAATATTGTGTTTAGCTGTGTGATTCGACTCTATAGGGTAACATAAGTAAAGACAGAATTTTAAAAAAGGGTGCAAGACAACAACTGTGGTGCTGTACCATTAAATTCAATCAACTATGTAAACTGTAGCATCAAGTGTCCTAAACCAAACTTTCCAAACCTAAAACAGTGAAAATGCAGGTTTAATGGCATTTCAGTGTCTCCAATACCTTCCAATTCTTTGTCAGTTTTTCCTGTATCTCTCTATTTAAATACTAAGCTCTCCCAGCTTTCCAGTCAGTGGAGCAGGAGCAGATCATGAGCCTCGGTGGGCATCAAGTCGGCTCAGAGGAGGATACAGTTTCTTGGAGTTTGCCACACAAGACAAGTCCAGACAAGAGACGGAGAGAGAAATGGATTTGTGAAATCTGACCTGGTTTCTAGTCTTGCAGTCGCCTCCATGAGCTCCTTATATCATGCTAATGCCCTGTGTGTGAGTGTGCGTGTGTGTGTGTATATGTGTGGCGGGGGTGTGTCCCCTCTTTCACCCTGTGGGCAAGAGTTGAAAGCTGGTACTGTACAAGTGAGATAGATTTCATGTCATCTGCATTATAATGTAATGAGATCTCCTCAGAGCTTATATTTGAAGTTGTGATTTGATTCTAACACACTCATGACTCCATGACGTACAGACGTGATCGTGTGGCTGTAATGTAGAACCTACAAACCTCAGACTTTAATTTACACCTAATTTAATCGTATTTTTTACCATTAACATTTCAGCATGAATTGATTTCTGCTCCAATCAGTTAAACATCAGTTACTGTAAATGTTAGCTAGTGAAATAGTTGAACTTCCAGCTAATTTCAAGTTCAAAGGTTCAAAGGTTATATTCTGCATATGAAATTTAGATTCTTAATATAGTGGCAAACAACCATTTGCTATGTAAAGATAATGGCGTAATGTCAGTGAATTAAGGATTTATTTTGATCAAAGCAGAATTGGTGATAGTTGGAACAGTGGAAAGACTATCCAAGCTGGTTTCATTATGTTTCTGCAAAATAAAGTTATGAGGTTACAATGATATGCAAGGTAAATTTAATTACAGTAATTGGAGTTTTCCTCTATGGAGTATGTCGAGCGATAGCAATATTACGGCTTTGGATCCTTTACTTAATGTTTTCAGACACTTAGAATAACAATCTGAGCCTGTCAGTGGCAAAGACAAGCACTTAGTGCATGTTTAACAATTACATAGTGGCCATTGCAACTCTTTTTTACGAATATTGTCATATCTAGCTCTGTAAATAAGGGTTTATTTTTCGATCAAACCAGTGTCGGTGATTGTCAGAAAGACTAACAAGACGGTTTTGTTGCATTTTATTTTATTTCTGTCCCTTTGTTTTGGTCTGAGATGCTTTTTCTCTAGTGCAATGTGCAGTGGTAAGTGAATTTTGTATAACCTTAAAAACAGTTCAAATAAACCTGCTATCGTAATCAGAAACAGCTCCAGGAGTATCTCTCTCAGTTTTTATTAAGAAAGCAGCTTGGCTAACGTTAATGCTTTCTTACATGAGCCATTAAGCTGGCAAAGCTGGATACTATATAGGTTATCTCTTATTTTATATTAACTTTTAGATATTTAACATTACTCAAAGTTACTAAACGAAGTGTTTCTGGCTGCTTAACACTGCTTAAAGCAGTGGTTCTCAAGCTGTGGGGTATGTTCTTCACACTGATGTCTCTGAGTCCTTGTTTCTTATATTACCTGGAGAATGCAGCCCTTCTACTACTACCACTTGTGGCAAGAAAAGCTCCTGTACTGTCGAAATGAGACCTAAAATCCTTTCAAATAAGCCTGCATGTCATGTCATGCCTTTACATTCTCCGGTTTATTTGTAACTCCTTAAATCTCAGTTGTTGTTTGGATGAGAACATTAAAGGAAAGCCCTCTGGCAAATTCGGGAGCGAAAGGCTTAAAGTGCACAGGTGAAAACAAAACATTAAAGCTTTAACCCTGTTCATGTGTGGTGTCACCTCACACCACGTACGCCCATCCCCTCAGGATTTATTTACATTCTCTAAATCTGTTAAGGGACCTTCGCTGGATGGAAAACTCCCATAAAGTCTGAGTGATTGACTTGTCATTGTGAAGGAGGAGGAGGAGAAGAAGAAGAAGAAGAAGACGAAGTTTTCAAAAACCAAATAAAAAAAACAAACAAACAAAAGCTGCTGAGCCTAGCAATTAGTGGTTTTGTCATGTAATTGGTAGTCAGAGGAGGAGTGGAAATGCATGCAATTTCGCAAGGAGCAGGAACAATACAAAACATTCCTGCATTAGAGTGGATAAACTTAAACAACACCCTAAGTCACAACTGTATTAAATGACAGGGACTTCGTCAGTTCAGTTTAAAACCAATAAAACTGCAAAGCACCAACATTCAATATGTTTAAAATCCTGACATGTCAAAGGAAGAGTTATTTCCGATGTGGTCTTTGAGAGTAAATTCAGTGTGCTGCAAGGCCTCAGTTTTTAAGAACTCCTCACTTGTGGCTGAAAGCAGCTCTGTCATGCTTTCTGACCTGACCCAGTTAGTCAAACACAGGTTTATTTAGACACCAAACACTTCAACAAACGCTTCATTCCAACCATGGCACCATCGATCTGACACTCATGTATATTTTTTACTGTCATTAAAGCCCTGCCACTGTGGCTTTCCTTAGGGGACACACACTGCTCACTTGTACTTTGCAGTTTTCTACTCGGCTGCCAACCACATGAGTAGACTAGCAGAACAAAATCAGACCTTTGAATTACTTATAAGGAGGAAGAAGGAGTTAATGTGTCAATGAAGCTGCTGTGCACTTTTACAGATATCTTTGTTTCATTTGGTGTAGCCATTTTCAAGAGAAATGTTTCAAGAAAAGGGGCCGAGGGAAGTAAGCAGAGTTGTGTTTGTGTTCATTTAGTGGTTAAAACCACTTAAGGGCTTTGGCTGTAGTTTCTCAAAGATCTGAATGGACTCGTTCAGGTCAGGTGTGTGTTGGTGCAGAGGTAATTTTATGGGTAATCATCAGGGGTGAGCTGAGACTTTGTATAATCATCTTGTCATCTTATAGAACATCAGAACTGTTCCTGCAATTCTATATGGCTCTGAGCTTGGGAGACTGGAAAACACAAACAAATACACAGAAACAAATGCTGGACACTCTCATAAATGCACGCTGGTCAAACTAAGAACAAATCTGCCTCTATAGTATCTGAGAGAGCGATCTTAAGTTTTCTTCTGACTAGGCCTGATCCCAGTGACCTGAGAAACCAAATATTCATCCACGTCCTTAAAGGGTTAAAGGGTCACCCACATTACAAACAAACCAGCACGTAAATGCCATGAAGGTAGCTTTGTAGCTGGGCCAAGCCACTTTCATGAAACCAGAAGACCAGACCTACATGAATTGTCGGACAAATATGAGATATGGTATTCAAAGTGATAAGTGATTCAAAGATGTGGAACCAGGCTACCTCCAATATGTGTTTGTATGAGACAATATGTGCCCTGGATACTCACAGACCTCACTGTGATCATCTCGAAACCTTTACTAAATTAAACAGATAAAATGATCTGCGTGGATAGATATGCGTATGCGTATGTATGCAGGAGCCACATTTCTGAATACAGAGCAGGATACAATCCGATCAACGTGTGCCCCAAATTGAAAAAGGCAACCTGACCGCAGTTAGTGAGTCCCTTTTCATGTTTCAGCAGGGGATGAAGCTAAAACACATTCTTCTCACTGAGTAAAGCATACCAAGGCTTTTTGCTAATTCATACGACCTGATGTGGACTCACAGAGAGTGTAAGTGAGGAGGAGAGGCAGGAAAAGGGGAGGGAGAAAGTGAGCTTGTGGCTGTGTAGCTGCTCTGTTCAGGCACTCTGACATTTCTGCTGCCAGGCTAGAAGTAGTGCTGCTTTAGTCATAATTCAGCGAGCAAAAGACTGACAAACTAGAGTAAACATGCCGTATACAACCTTTTATGCAGAGATGACAGCAACTAGACTTCTGATAGACTTCCTTTTTTATTACAGTAACTCTGAAGTTAGTGACCTGTGTAAGTTATGCTTGTAGCTGTAGTAATACAAAGTGTGATGTCTGGTACTTGCTTTATGGCCGCTATCTTTCACTGAATATTTTATTTTATGCATTTTACAGCCATTTCTACTCTGCCAACACCCTCAGAACATTCTTACATGACATAGTGGTTCAATATAGGAATGGCAATGTTGGTCAGTCACTTGTGTTCAAACTGAAAAATCTCAGCACTTATACATATATGTGTGTATATATATATATATATATATATATATACACACACACACATATATATATATATATATACATATATATATATATATGTATATATGTACATACTGCACATTCATGGTGTTACTAGCGATCCCCTGACTTTTCATTTAGCAGCACCAGCAGCTCAAAGATTTCTGTTTTCCAGTGAAATATCTCAATCTACAAAATTGATTGGTGCATAAAGTGGTACAGACATTCATGGTTACAGATGTTGTACATAATGTCTTTGGTGATCTGACAGAAAGTTGAATTTTGTCGTTTTGTGTGAATATTTTACCAAATATTGGTTGGAACTCCGTGATGTCTCCTGCAGACATTCATGTCCTCTACAGGATGAACTATATTGACTTTGATGATTGCTTAACTTTTTATCGAGCACCATCATCGGGTCAGATTCTTTTGTCCAATACAATGATTTATGTCCAGATACCTTCAAAGCTAATGACATTCCCATCAACCTCAGCTTTAATTTATGTTTAGTACTAATTAGCAAATGTTCAGAGCAGGATGCAAAAAATTTGTCTTCAATCTCACTTTGTTAAAAAGTCATGAGAAAATAATATTGTGAATCCAGTATCGTGAACTGTATCAAAGTGTCTTGTTACATCCCTATTCACAAGTGATTTTTCTTGGTTTCACTGTATCTGAATCATTTTTAGAAGCCTGAAGATGTAAAACTACTCACTATTTTACAAGAAATATGCAACAATTAGAGAAAACTCCAAAAAATAACGACATTTTCTGTAATGATCTGGTGACCTCTTATATTTATCTTGTAAGCCCTTACGGGGTTCAGAGCCCCAGGTTTAGGAAACACTGCATAAGACTGCTGCAAAATCACACATCCCACACTTCAAGCTGAATTCATTCAACACTGAATTCTTATTTTGTGGCTAGAAAAGCCCAAGATTTGCAAATCCAAAACTAATGATGAAACTAATGATTTAGAAAGAAAATAGGCCACTCGAGTACATTTGCATTCAGCAGCAATAAGAATGAATATTAAACATACAGTATAATTTCTATCACTAATCCAAAGAGCTAATTAGAACAGAAAATATAAGGGATCCATATTCCGCAACCTTCAGCTGTGTCTCTGAATAAACACACTGATGCCTGCTGGCCAACCTCTACACAAATCTGTGCACTGTGATTGGTTGGTTTGTCTCAGCTGCTGCGAACCCCCTGGCTGCGTTCAAAGGGAACGTCACATTACCATCGGTGTATCTCAGTCAGAAGTGGGTCAGTGGAGGCATTAACATACATTACACACCAAATGATGCAATATCTCGGAATATCCCCCCGCTCACTGTCCACTCATCACCAGTGGAGCTGCTGCGGAGCACTTAGAGCCTGCACGGAGCTTAAATATGTATATAAATACACTACTGTTAATATGTTCAATGCTCAGTTTTTTGTGCAATTGAACTATTTTAGAGCCGTTTAAAAGATAATAGCTATATAGCAAAGCACTTGAGCATGTGTGTGTGTTTCAAAGTGGGGTGGGGGTAGAGATTTATCAGAGTTGAAGGAATAGGTCGACATTTGGGGAAATACACTTATTTGACAGAGGGTTAGATGAAAAGTGACACCACTGTCATGTCCGTCCAGCAGCCGGTTAGCTTAGCTTAGCATAAAGACTGGGAACAGGTGTATGTAATGTAGTTGCCAGATGGAATGAAAAAAATGATTCTGCTGCATCGTTTTTTGTCTATCAAAAGTCCAAATGCAGTGCTAAATTGGTGGAGTACTCTTTTAAGCACAAAAAGCATTACACTGTATGATACACAGAGTGATACGTGAAGTGCTTAGCCATCTATGAAGCATCATTATCCGTAATGGTTTTGCCAGAATCCTGGTCAGAGATTGTTTTAAAAATGGCTGCAAAAAAATAAAAGGAATATTCACTGTTTATACAACCTGACAATATTTTCTCTTTTTCTTCTACCTATGAATAATCATCAGTCAGGTCCCGCTGTAATTCTCCCGCTCATCACTTTCCCAGGATCCAACTGAACGCAAGTTATGATTACAGCTGGTTTTGAAATAAAAACACTCACACAAAGTACATGTTGAAAAGATTTTCATGTGGTGCATAATGCTTGGTTAAAAACATCTGCCTGTTATACAAGAACGCCCACACTGCAGAGGGCATGGCTCCTCTCGGCTAAAAAGGGTAAAAGTTGAAAAATCAATAAACAAACTCTGAACAGAGCTCCTGCAAGAGGCAGCTGTTAACAAAAAGCATCAAGTTCTCATTAGTAGAGGATTCATTGCACTGACTAATTATTACAATCATTGCACGTAACAACCACTGACTATGACTTAAACTAGTGGCACACTCTTCACTAAGATAAATCAGTTTTTAATCATCGGTGTGTATCACAGTCTACTCAACCATGTAGCAACAACTCCACCTACACAGCTGAAGACATCCCTCTGGGACACCCTTCAGCCAGCACTTTTACCCTCTTCCTAACCCCGATCACAACCACAAGCCACAAACCAACCGGTCTGACCTTGCTGTGCTCTTCGAGCAGCCGGTTCAGCCCTGCATCCCACCTGTAAACCCACGCCTGCTTTCACACTTTACAACTGACCCCTGGCAAGCCTACCGTCCTCGTAGAAGACATCCTCCGCTTCCTCACGCATCATCTCATCCAGGTCATCCTCTGCAATGTCGGTCATAGCCATCACTACTCCTTTTCTTCTTCTTCTTCTTCTTCTTCTTCCTCCTCTCTCCCCCTCGTCTCCCTCGGCTGACTAATCGGAGCTTCAGAGAGAGTGACTGGGCTGTAAAATTGAATCAACACCGGCTCGGCCTCTTCGCTTCAGGCGACAGTCCGATCACTGGCAGGCTCCTCACTCGAGTAGCAGAGGACTGGGACTGAGCTGAGCTTCAGCTCTCTGCACGAGGATGTGTGTGTGAGTGTGTGAGTGCCAGGTGAAGTGTGTGTGTGTATGTGTGTGGGTGAGAGAGAGGACTCCAAGCGACCTTCACTAAGTTTCAGCAACAGTACTGATTTCATAACATCCTGTGCAAAGCTGAAGTGAGAGTGTGCTGTTTGGAGAGCACTTGTATGAGTAAGTGTGCGCATGTGTGTGTACTGTACGGGGAGGGTCAGTGGTGTGTGCATGTGTCTGTGTGTGTCCATATGCACAGTATGGCTCTCTACAGTGAGTCAGCTCGGGTGGCTGGTGATTAACAGGAATAATTATATTCTGTATTTTGAGCTAGCAAGGACATGCAAAAAAAAAGTGTGAAAATGTGTGTGTTTGTGTGTACATGGCATGTGTGCGATATGTGAGGCAGGCTATACATGTCATTCCTTCACAGCTCACTAGGAATCATGGGACTACACTGATTGCTCCCTCTATTTTTTCACTTGGCCCACATTGAGGGGGCCTCAGCAGAGCTGATAACGTCTGGCGTCGTCTGCTGCTGCTGAAAGTCTCCATGGTGCTGCTCAGGATAAACACACTCACCTGCTCTGAAGAAGACAGATTCAGACACTGTGGGAGAATCTTGTTTGTACCTTTCTTATAATCATAGTTTTTACGTTTGGGACTTTTGCATTAATGATGATGTTTTAGGCACAGAGCTGTAGTAAGCATCTGTGTTTTTGAGACATAAATATGAGTCAGATTTTTGAACGACACTGCAGATTGTTTTGCACTTCTGAATGCAGTTTTAAAGATATTTCCAGAATCCTCAAAGACTAAAAAAATATTTCACCTGCTGCACAAGAGAGACTTTTAACAGGTTTCCTAAACTCCCAAGTTTTCTGTTCAGGACCTTGTGTTGAAATTGTTTTTGTGAACGGTTTTCCATAATTTATTCCTAGTAATGTATGCATATATTTTATGTTTAAAAAATAATAATAAAATGCAATCAACGCCATTCTCGACTTTCGTAGATCAAACTTTTAGGAATCTGGAAATTTTGATGAATCTTGTCAAACAACCGGCAAGGGTTTTAAAGATTGGCTTATATTATCCTTCAGAAAAAGTTATGCTTGCAAAAGTCTCAAAATGAAAAAAAAACAAGGATTATCTATGAGACAAACTGTTGATATGTTGCTCCATGAGGTTAGGAACGATCATGTTAGCGGCTCAGTGTAGCACTTTAAGCTAAATGCTAACACACTCATAATGACAACTCCACTGAGCAGGTATAATGTTCATAATCACTGTCTCAGTTTAGCTAATTAGCTCTAAAGACAAAGTTGAGTTAACGTGTAACTAAGGCTGATGGGAAATGTCATCCGTTTTGCAGGATTCTGGTCATAATTCAAATTTGACCTGATGGATAATTGAACGCATGAACACATTTTCATGTCAATCCATCCAACACATCATTCAGTCTGGAGCAAAGTGATCACCTGAGCCACGCCGCTAGCCTGGCTAAAAACTGGGTCAAACTTGTGAACCATCTAACTCTTGTAATGTGTTATGACAAACTTTCCTGTCAGTCATGGATGACTCTACTTAATGACTTTGAAAAAGTTTTGCACCATCCACAGGAGGCCCCTTACCAGTGCCTCTCATGCATTTCATCCCAAATCACTGGTAGCATGGAGTCTTGTCTCTTTTGGACCTTTAATTTATTACAAGATGAAAAAGTTAAAAAAGAAAAAACACCCAGACACAGAATATCTTCCTCTTTCTCACTCCATGCCTCCATCTGTCTCCACTGTGCAGTTTCTCTGACTCACATCCCATTTACACAAACCAATTCCCAACCAAAATAGAAACTAGGCCTCAAGTCAATTCATTATCACTTTTCCTTCAGACTTCCTCTCCCTTGCCACCGCCTCCCTTTAAGGCCAAAGCTCAAGGGAACGGACTCAGAGACAAACTCATTTTCACTGAGGCTAGTCCAGACAATTCGCATACACCACATCTATCAGGAGGTGGGATGTGTTGTCTCACTAGATATGAAGCACTTCTTTTGTACACCAAAAGTTGTTTTGTGTAATTTGCTGGGTTAATAGCAATGCTTACAAGTTTATAGGATGGGAGGATTTCTTATTTGTCTGAGGTCATTTAGGAGGACGGTGTGAGAAACAGACTACAGTTAGGTGTTGGTGTTAGAGAGACAGTGTGTGCCTATCTGTTTAAATGTTACACGTTAGTCCGAACCAGGAACCAAAACTGTGACTGTGGCTAAAACTGGAAGCAAAAATAGGGAGTCTGAACTGCTTTGGCCACCTCAACCAAAAACACTCACACAAATCCATCTATAAACTGTCAAAAGCTGCTGTAAATAAGTAAGGTCTACGTGTAAGTAGTAAATTGCATTAAACATTTTAATTTACTTCAGTATGTACAAAGTGAACACGTCACCATTCATACTACCATGTGCATTGATTTGGACTGTCTTCAGTTAAAAGGACCTGTATGTAGGATTAGGTGCCATCTAACGGAGAAGTTGCAGATTGCATCAAACTGAACACCGCTCGCATCTGTATTGGTTGACGACCTGGGAATGAATGAATGTTTAGTTTTATCCATTCTGGGCAACACAATGTAGTACAGTAAGTGGTGCAACAGCGTCTTGGAACGACAGAAAGAGAATCATGCAAACTAGAGCAGAAATGACAGAAAACTAAATCCATTAATCCTTTAAGACATTTGTAACACAACAAGGCCATAAGCTGGTTCCAGGTTCTCCAGTGGGAGGATTTACTGTTTTTGTCTTATTTATATGACTGCAAACTGAATGGCTTTAGGTTTTGGACTGTTTGTCAGACAAAACAAGCAATTTGTACACCTTAAAACTGTGATGGGAATTTTTTGGGAGTTTTCTGATATTTCATCAACTAAATGATTGAAAACGTTATTATCTCAGTTAGCTGCAGCATTAATACAATACGTCTTTTGTATGTTTCACACAGTGAGCAGGGTGGGATACAGCTGTTTGAAAACACCCTGCTGACAGTATGGAAAGAAACAGTGTTAATAAATGTGCCTGATCCAAAGTGAGACGTGGCAGAGAGCAGTATATGCATCTCAAAATCACTTTCACAGAAATCACACAAGCTATTAAGGCAATCATACAGCCTCTTTAAATAAAGTGAAAGAGCAACTTTACCAGCAGGAACAGGAAATTACAGAAAGTGGTGAAATAAACTGCATAACAGAACAATGGAGAATCATGAAGACGCATTGGGAAGTGCAGCAAAATAATATATTATATGACGTGTAAGATTATTTCATAATCATGCAAAACAGCAAGGCTCCATCCTAGGTAAACTACTTGCAAATACTGAATTCTAACCAATATAGGGCCTCACAGCAGACAGCAAGGAAACTGACTTATTGCTCTGATCCTAGAAACATGATGGCAGGGAGTAGAGAGTCACTGGTCATGCAGGCAAGTAAACAGAAAACACACTCATACAGAACACTGACACATACAAAGCAAAGCCTACTGTCTTATGCAGATACGTCCCACTCCCATCTGTTCACCGCAATAATCATCACATGTACTTGTGACTGTATCATGATTTATGTGCAAAATTGAGATTAAACCCAAAATTAGATTGCCACAGCAAAAATGGTGCTCACACTTTGCTTTTTTTCTACCTTACAGGCAGCAGTGCTGCAAAGCAGGGTCATGTTTGGGTTGCATTTGCCCTACTGCATTTCAATGACTGGGTACATTGTTGTCACCAGCAGAGAAAACCCCCTGCTTCGGGAAATGCATACGCATGCTGCTGGGATGCAAACACACTCACAAACAGACACACACACGTCCATATAATAATACTCAGACACAATGCCACCAAAACACTGCACAGACAAACAGACAAGAACGTACGCACACCACACACACAGTTGTTACTCCAGCATTGCAAAAAGTAGCACAATCAGACCCGCTCGGTACAATGGTGTTGTTTGAATGGGGTCAAACAATGGAGCTCTTTGGCATCTGAATCGAGCCAGATGATGAGTGTCCCAGGAGGCTGAATAGGCGGCTTCAGCCTCCTACACACTCACTCTTCTGGCCCTGACAATATGCATCAGTGCGCCGCCTGTTACTGTGGACTAAAATATCCGTTATTAGCATGGAAGCAGCAACTCATTAGCATCCAGGCTAATTCTATGGTGTGAGCTAATTTGCATGTATGCAGCCACTTGCACAGATGCTACAATGGGCATAAAATACTAGAAAACCAGCATCAATTAGCATCAGACAACAGTTAAAAACTTAAAGATTTAAGTGTACATTATTATTCAACTTATTTGGATTGGCTTGGAGACTCATAAAACCCCAACATCTCAACATGCAGCAAACAGAACATTCAATCAAGTTAGTGTTTTGCAGAATCATAGAGAGAACTACAACTTAACTTGGAAATATTTTCAAAAGTTTGACAACTCAGATCATGCATTTCTTTGAAACCCTTCCCTGATTCAACATAAAAAGCTATTGTATATGAGTTTGTCAGATTCCCTGGTTTAGACAACCGGTAGGCTTAGATGTGTCTTAAACTGACTCATATTTAAAAATGATCAATGTTCACAACAAGAAGCAGGTTATTTATGCTTATTTTTTCACTCCAAGGCTGAAACTATCATTGAGGTCATTGAGTTCATTTCCTGTTTGTTAGCAACATGAGGGTTTAGTTAGTCAGATATAGTTAGATATCTAAATTTGGTAGCGGTAGGCCAACAAAAAATAAATTAATTTAAATTCACAGACTATATAATTGAGCAGTAAATTGAATCATTAAAAAAAAAAATCACACTTTATTTTCATGAAGCCCTGCTACACTCAAACAAACCAAAAGAAATATTTTTAAAATGTGATTTCAAGCCAATGCGTAATACTTGCTGGTATAATAATATGTTAAACATATGTGTATCTCAGTATAAATAACTGCAAAATGTGAATATATGAAGAAACAGGCAATGAAACTGTAAAAAATAAAAGCATGAATGAACGGTGGAAAATACACCCATCACACAACAGGATATTGCTGCTACACAAAAAGCCAATTCATAAATCCTGTGGAAACTGGATTTCCGAG